CAATTTTTTAAAATGTAAGGAGTAGAAAGTACAGATATTTGTGTAAAAATGTAAGGAGTAGAAGTGAAAAGTTGCCATAAAAATAAGTAGTAAAGTAAAGTAAAAATATCAGAAAAATCTACTTGAGTACAGTAACCAAGTATTTGTACTTCGTTACTTCCCATCTCTGTCAGGGGAAAGCAGTACCCAGTATGAAATGCTGCCAAAAATATGTCTGCAAAGTTCTGCATGGAACAAAAATGCATCAAACCCAAACCAAAATTAGTTGATGTGAGTCTTCACTGCTCCAGTGATTTTAATTATGCTAAACATGTATTTTGTTCCGAATTTTTAGAACCAAGTAAAAAGGACAACTCTGCAGGAGGTTTCTCTAACTCTTCACGGATCTTATGTTGGATTCTGACTGGACCCAAGAACCTGGAATCCCGGACCAAGCATCTAAAGCAAACCTGGACTAAACACTGCCACAGAGTGCTGTACATGAGCTCAGTAAAGACGGATTTTCCCACCGTTGGGCTGAATGTGAGCGAAGGGAGGGAAAACCTGTACTGGAAAACCATCAGGGCATTCCAGTACATCCACCAGCACCACATGGATGAAGCTGACTGGTTCCTCAAGGCGGATGATGATACTTATGTGGTCATAGAAAACCTGCAGTACATCGTATCCAAACTGGACCCAGGAAAACCATTGTACTTAGGTCGAAGGTTTCGCCCGTTCATCAGTCAAGGCTACATGAGCGGAGGAGCAGGTTATGTCCTGAGTAGAGAGGCACTGAGAAGATTTGTAAACGGTTTTCACACAGGAGAGTGTACTCACTTCTCTGACATAGAGGACATGGCTCTGGGGAGCTGCATGGAGAAAATGAAGGTGGAGCCGGTCGACACTCGAGACGTGAAGGGGAGGCAAACCTTCCACCCGTATCCTTTGGACCATTATGTGATCCGACAGCTACCAAGAGCTCGGCCTTGGCATTTACTTTATGACTACTACCCTCCAAATGAGGTAAGCAATGAAACTAGATAAGGATTATATACATTTCAACACGGTAACCATAGTAAACCAAACATATAAAGTCATAAACAAAAATTAGTCTATAAAAAGTGAACCTAAGTACCAGTTGGATTTTCCCACCTCCGAACTGTCCATCTGTTGAGTTCTGAAGTGATAAACACCGTCTTGACTCTTATAACTTTAATTCTTGTTTCTGACCAGAGGTTATTTTAAAATGCTCAAACAATATCTTTATTGGATTTTCTTTCACTTGTTTTAATGTTTTATACCCTAATAAAAGCAAAATACACATCATTTAAAGACCTAAAGGTATTGACCAGAGTTTTTATTGACTATATTCAAACAGAGGTGTCAAATACTTCCGTACCTTACTGAAGTACAAATATTGGCTATCTATATTTTACAGGAGTAATTATTTTTTTAGACAACGTTTTACTTCTACACCTTAAGAAATAGACTTGTTAGTTTCTTTTAAGCTCAATTTCATTATGGCCTGTTGGGATTAAAAAAAAAACAACAAAAAAACATCTGAATAATTAGTTTAATCCAGACAGTTAATTTCTTTGTGGTTGGACTCGGTGCTGCCCCAACCTGTTGCTCACCACAAAACAAAATAATTTTTCAAGATGATGCAAAATTAAATGTGACTCTGTTACCATTAGTTATAAAACTAATAAAATGAAGTCTAAGGAAGTTATCATCCAGAATGGTAGAAAAATGCTCCTTTAATAGAGTAGAGCAGTAAAGCTTCTGGCCTTTACAGTTTTTCCTGCATTACTTTTTTACTGTTACACTTTAAGTATTTTTAAAATGGTACTTTTACACTTTTACTGGAGTAAAAAGCTTCATATTTATCCATTAACTTCTATAAAGGTGTTTTTAAACAGCAGTATTTATACCTCTACTACAGCAATAAATATTAATACTTTTGACACATCTTATATAGATTTGGTTTAACAATATTGTTGGAGCCCATATTAAGTTCTCAATTAATATGAAAGTAAAAGGCGGTGACCCTGGTGTGTATGTGCTGATGAAGCTTGTTTAAGATTATTTTTAAACAAAATTGTTCCCAAAGATCAGGTTTAGGAGAAAGTCTTTTTATTGTCCTAAGATTCTGATCTTACAGAAGCAGCCATTAAAAATGGCCCTTCCCAGTCAAAAGCCAGCCGAATGGCAGCAATATCCCCTCCAACTTCCAGCCACTGGCCTTCTCCTGGGCGTGCATTGTTTTTTTACTCTGACTCCACTCTTTCACTGAGTTACAGGGTCTGACCAGGAGATGATCATTCTCTTTAGATCTTAATATCCACAAATCAAGACAGAAAAAATATTTTAGGTGTTTAAAAAAGAATCTCAGGGGACCAGGCAAGGGCGCTTCAAGGGAAAGTTTTCAAGGAATGAAATTTTGAATGGTAACTGCTGTAAATAGTGGGATTTATCTGAAGTGAAACTAGGGGTTAGCAGCAAACTGTAAGCCACTTTTCATTAGGGTCTTCAGATCTGGAAAGTTCTAAAGGGATTTTCTTTGTCCAGTCTGACCATGATTTTAATGTCAGAGAACATCTCAGGTCATCGTAGCAATCTAGGACAATTATTAAGCTATGATATCAACAGTTGTTTTAACATCAGCTGTCATCCACGTCATGGTCTAGCTTGAAAGAGTCGAAAGCTTCAGTCTAGGCAGCTGGATGTAAAGTTTCTAGAAGACGTTTCATCCAAGAGGCTTCTTCAGGTCTAACTAGTGGTGATAAGCACTGAGATTAATATACTGTAGGTGAAACAAAGAATTAGGAGGATCTGGAGGTGGCTATGATCTGTGTATTGGCCATGGAGGTCACTTGGGGGGTGTTAATGGTCATAGGGGGTTCTGATGGGTCGTTAACTCCCTCATTAGCGCGGTTCCGGTCATATGCCTCTTTGAAGATGGAGTCAGGTGAGGGCGGGTGAGAGGTGAATGTTCTTGGTATCATTCCTCACAATGCTTTGTAAGTAGGTAAAAGGTCTCAGACCACCTCCTCTGCTGAGAGGTGGTGTGTCCAGGGTAACAAAGATGGCCTCCTTAACCCCTCTTCTCAAGCATCTATCTTACTTAGCCAGAAAATAGACGTTGTTGTTCTCAAATTAGTTTCCTTTAGTCTTCAGCTGTAGCGGTGTGGTGGACAAGTTTGTCACCTGGTGTGAGCAGAACCATCTGCAGCTCAACGTGCTAAAGACCAAGGAACCAGTGGTGGGTCTGAGAAGTAGTAAGGCCCCAGTGACCCATATTTCTATCTGTGGGGTCAACATGACACTGTGGAGGAATAAAATACTTAGGGGTGGCATGATCTTGGCACTCTATTATATATATACACTATTTTCTTAGGCCGCTGAGGTCCTTTAACATCTACCGGACAATGCTGCGGATGTTTTATGAGTCTTTGATGACCAGTGCCATCCTTTATGCTGTTGGGTATTGAGGCAGCACACTGAAGGCGAAGGACACCAATAGACTTAACAAACTAATCTGCAAGGCCAGTAATGCTGTTGGAGAGCCGCTGGACCCTCTGACAGCAGAATGTGGGTCAGGATAAAATCCATGCTGGTTTCTGGGTGCCTTGACTTTGGGGTGAACCAGCTTTTGTCTCAGGGTGCGGGGTGCCGGGTTTGAAATGCACAGAAATCTGGTGGAGGTTTTCAGCAACATCTGGAATGACGATGTTCCTTCTTCTGTTCCCGTCCCTCTCAGCAGACATCTCCTTGTTGGTTTATAGAAAAGTCCATCTGGGATGTCCTGATAACTCCCTGTTCTCTAATCCTCCCTCTGTTAGTGGTGGGAATGGTTTCTGCTCCTGTCTGCAGGGTTTCAATGAGGTCTAGTTTGTGTTCCAGTGGGTGATGTGAGTCAAACGGAGGTACTGGTGGGTGTGTGTGGGTTTCCTGTAGACTTCTATGTCGAGTTTTCTGTCTTCCATGATCTGAACCACATAGTCCAGGAAGGCAAGGCTGACATCTTTTAAATCTTCTCGGGAGAACTGGATTTTTCTGTCCGCTGCGTTGATGTGGTCTGTAAAAATGTTAATATCCTTGGTCTTTATTTTGACCCATGTGTCATCCACGTATCTGAACCAATGACTGGGCTTTGTTCCCACGTATAAAGCTCTGCTTTCTACCTCTTCCATGAATAAGTTCACCACTACGGCAGACACAGGAGATTCCTTCGCACATCCATGCCTCTGCCTGTAGAAATATTGGTGGAATTGGAAGTTGGTGGTTTGGCACAAGTCCAAGACAGAACACAGTGGTCAGGTTGGTCTTGAAGTAAACGCATCTTTACTGTGTAGACTGCTTCTGTGGGGGGGAGGGAAGTAAAAAGACCTGTGGCGTCATAGTCATACTATCCTGATCGAGCTCTTTGTATTTACTTATTCTGAACCTTTAATAGTTGAGATGGTCAGGAAACTTTTGTGGGCCACCAGTTAGAACTAAACCCCACGATAAAACCCATCAATGTTATCCGCTTGGTTTATATTCTAGGCATTTAAGCACCTTTTTTCACATTTTATGCTTCCAGGTTATTAGATATGTCCTGATATATGATTTTTTTTCTTTTTATTTGAAAGCTGGATTATAAGCAAACATGCAGTGTGAATTTCATGTTCACAACCTAACTTAAAGTTTTAGCAGTAACTGAAATCACCAAAGCTATAAACACAGTTTTATTTCTAAGTTGCACCACTCTTCTAAAATTATGCTGCTAAATGAGACTCTGCTTCCAGGCCGCATCGCTTATTCTCTATGTGATGTTTTCTGATCCCAAACTTCTAGATGATGTTTTTATTCAACATAAATGCTGAAACAGATTCCTTATAAGAGGCTGCTAAATAAGTCCTTTTCTGTTTTTATCTCTCTCCAGGGTCCAAACTGTTGCTCAGATTTTGCTGTGTCCTTTCACTACATCTATCCTGTCCAGCAGTATGTGTTGGAGTACTTCACCTATCATCTACGACCATATGGATACTTTTATAGATATAGACCCGATGAAAGCAGGGACACAAACACTACAGATAACAGCAGTGGGTGAGCAGCACAGGGGAACGGAAAAGGATCCGGAGGAGGAGTGAAGATAAGAAGCGGGATGAGACAGGGTTTGGACAATCAAAGCAATACTGAAGCAATATTGCTGATTCTTGTGGAATCTGGGAAAACAGAGGAAGAGTTGGGAGGTTTGAGAAGCTAAAGAATGGATGAAAGTGACTAAAAGAAGAGCAGCCAGCAGAGTTTGCTGATTATTAACTGAATGAATGGGTGACTGGAGGTGGGGGGGGGGCTTTACTTCATTTGGTGGAGCATCCATACATGTTCTTTGGTTAGGTCTGGAGCAATACTAATAATTAGCTTTGTCATTTTCAACATTCAGAGTCAGAGGCTCAGACACTTTTTTACCTCAATTAATACTTTCTTTTTTAATAGCTTTCTTTTACTTTTTTATTTTCTGATCAGAGAATGGATAATATTAGATATCAGTATGAAGGTCACTGCTGAAAAACTTTGCAGATTCATTTTACTCTTCCTGTCTCCGCCTTCCTTTCTCATCTGGATTTCAGCAATCGAGCTAACGTGGGAGAAACAAGATCTACTAGAAAGGCGTCTGCCTGGAATGAAATGCACGTTGGCTGGTTGATGGTGTCTGTGCGCCTGTGGGGGGTTATTCCCAGCCAACAATCCTGGGGGGTGCTGCCTATCCACAATGCAAAAGGACCCTGAATGATTTCTGCCTCTAAGCAATAGATATCTTTCCTGGTTTAATTTAAAAAAGTTGGACTTTGTTTCCAAGTTTGAAAACGTTTTTCTTCCCATCCAGGAAGCTTTTTCAATTCAAAATCCCAGAAATAGCGTTGAGTTTGAAGATTTATTTAGTAGCCCAAACATTAGTTTTGGCTCAAACATGCAAATGGAACTAGAAGAACGGGTCCGCCTCTTTGGAATGGGGAGTGGTTTAAGGTTCCTGGTTTAACGATATTTCTGGAGCCCAGAGTTGGGTTCTCTGACCAGCTTCAGCTAGTCTTCCACTGCCTGTTATGGACAGGCCAAAGTTGTTTTTCTACTTTCCTTTTCTTAAACTTATTAAAGGTAAACATATCTGTTTTTATTCCATATAATAGCATGGATACGCTGCTAAAGGCTGTGATGTTTGATCTGAGAAGAATGTCAAATGTAACAGCTAAAAGGAGAAGTCTAAACAAGGACGTTATATTTATAAATAAAAAGGGTTTATTTTGGTATTTACGGTGCTTTGTGTTTTATTCAATATTCAAACATCGGTGCTCCTAAATGGCCAATTTATCAGAACACCTACAAACACAGTAAGATATTGCAAAAAAGCAATTCCCTTAAAATAAAAAAAAACAGGAAATGTTTTTATATTAATGAAACTGAACTATACCCTTACTGGTTTAATTCTAAGATCAAACTGAAGCCTTTGTTGGACTGAGAAGCATCTAAACCACAGAAACCAGTCTTTCAACATCATAAATAGTAAATAGGTACGACACAAGAATCAACATGGCTTAAATGCTGCAGGTGCTGTCCTCTTATCAGCCCTGAAGGAATGTGATTGGCAGCAGGCCCAGCCTCCCTGCAACCGATCAGCTACGTGTAGATGCAGGCATTCCTACAGTTCACCTCAATCTCAAAGTTGTTTACATTGCCGTGGCAACCTCCGAACCAAAACTGGGCGCAGGCCAGTAGTACCACCTGCACTGTCGACATGGACCGGGTTCAAGAGGCTGGCTGCAGCCCTGACCTGGAAGAAGAAGGATCATCACCATCATTTCATGCATCGATGTGGCAGGTCACTGAGTAAAGGTTGATTTTAAAGATTTCTGTAAGGATGTTAGTTTATCATTTCACTCATTTCAGAAGTCTGTTAAGTTTGCATGATAAAAAATATTAATATAATTAAACCTGTGTCCATTAATTTGCAACTCAAAAAGGTAAATTTTCCATATCTTTGTAAAAGTTCCTGACAGACAAACCAGTAGGGTAGCATGCTTATTGTAGCCACATTAGAGAGCGGCCCACCCCAGCAGTCACAGAGTTCCCAGTAGATGCTTAATGAATTGACTTTGCATCTAGTAGCACAAATAAAACT